CTAAATATCCAGATAATCCGGCACCTGGAACGTCACTCCATTCTTAATGATCGGCAGTACGGGTTTCGGCCGAACCGATCAACGGGTGACGTTCTAGCGTATCTAATGCATCTCTGGGGTGAAGCTATCGACAAACAGGGCGAAACCTTAGCGATAAGTCTGGATATTGCTAAGGCCTTTGATCGGATCTGGCACCGTGGTCTCCTCTCCAAGCTTCCGGCATATGGTCTTCCCGGCCGCCTTTGTGAGTGGATCTCCGGCTTTCTGCGCGAGCGAAGATTGCGTGTCCTTGTTGACGGAGGCACTTCGCGGCTCGTGACAGTTAATGCTGGGGTGCCACAGGGCTCCGTGCTGTCGCCCACGCTGTTCCTTCTGCATATCAATGACTTGTTGCCTTTTGGCAACATTCATTGCTATGCAGATGATAGCACAGTGCACGGTTGCTATTATAAGCAACCGTCAAGCAGCCGGGAGGACCCTGAGAGAAACCGGGAAAAACTTGTCGCTGAGCTCAACCATGTTTTGGAACATATATCGTCGTGGGGCTCCCGAAACTTGGTTGAGTTCAACGCCAAGAAAACCCAGGTATGCGCGTTCAGTTCCAAAAAATCCCTATTCCTTCCACTTCCCCATCTTCAGGGTACAACGCTGACGCTGCAGGACTAGCTCAGCCTGCTGGGGATGAGCATCCGGAAGGACATGAGCAACAAAGACTATATAGAGAGCGTCATCTGTACCGCGTCGCGCAAGCTTGGCATCCTGAACAAGGTGCACCGATTTTTTACTCCAGAGCTGCGATACCTGTTGTATAAAGCTCAGGTCCGAAGCAGCATGGAGTACTGTTCGCACCTTTGGGACGGCTCTGCCAAGTACTTGCTCGATGCCCTAGATGGACTGCAGCGCTACGCCTTCCGTGTTGTCAACAATCCTCATGTAACTGAGCATGCGGAGTCGTTACAGCTTCGCAGAGATATAGCGTCTCTTAGCGTATTCTATCGCCTGTACCACGGTGAGTGCTCTGAAGAGTTATTCAACCTTATCCCTTCCTCTCCTTTCCATCAGCGGACCACCCGTGCCGGACTGCGTTGCCACAGTTGGACGGTCAGTTTAATACCGTCCCGCACTAAAAAGTTTGGCAATTCGTTCTTATGCCGAACCATCAAATTGTGGAACCAACTCCGGCGCATGTATTCCCTCCCCTCTATAACATCGGGTCCTTCAAACGTAGTGTGAAGAAGCATTTGGCCAGACCGGCAAAATGATAGTGACGGAGTGAAGATATTTGTGTTTTCCATCCGTTACTCTCATCTCTGGACTGTATTCGCACTTTCCATCAGGCGCGGTGCAGTCATTTTGCCGAGTCACAATAAAAAAAAAAAATAATAATAATTCGAATTAAGAACTAAGAAATAATTAGATCAGTATTGTACAAAATAAATACAATAATAAACATGCCGCATGGTCTTAATAACGAATAATGCGACGACGGTACTAATGCTGCCTTTCCATTAGAGACGTGTGATGGTGCCGTGAAACGGTGTGATGTTTTCCACCAAAGCTGTGCGAGGATGCGTTACGGACTCTTTTCAGCTATGCACGGGTGGGGTCAGTTAGTGTCATACTTTCAGTAGCTCTAGTTTCCTATACCATTTTGCACACATTCCTCGCCCGCATCCCTCGCACCCATTCCTCGCACACATCTCTCGCACACGTTTCTCGCACTTTGGATTTTTTATTTATTTATTCAATTTCAAGAACAAATTTTACAAATAACGACTCTTTTTTATCGCTAAGTAAAAACTTTGCGGTTTAACCACCTAGCGATGACCTAATACATTAATATTAATTAATTCTATCGTATATGTCTACAGAGATAGAGAGAGATAGAGACATATTTATTTGTAAACATACACGGTAAATACAGTTTCCATATTTAAGATTACATTTGTGGTTCAGCGTTTTGCGCCAGTAACTGGCATACAAATATTAATAGAAAATATAATTTAAAAGCATATCGTATTGTATTATAAAATTCATATTATAAAGTTAATTAAATAATATAATTAAAGAAAAATTATGATGTAATAAAAAAGAGGAACGCATGTCAAAGCAACTCATTATAAAAAACAAGTTTCTATATATATATATATAATATATTATATATATACATATACATTTACACAAGTGCTACAGATATTATACTACAAATCAAGATAGTGTCTCTTTAAAACAATTTCAATGTTACTTAGCACTGTACTGGTAGATCGTTCTACATTTCTGGTAGCATGTAGTCAGGTCTGCGCATTCCATATACGTTGTTGTATCCCGGAAAAGTACACGTCCGTATGTATGAAAGCGAGTGCAAATGTTCAGAGCGCATTCACTCTCGCAAATTATGTTTGAAATGATCGTTCCTGATATGCGAATAGCGTTTTGGCTTTGTCAAATACATTTAAAACTCTACAATAACTTAAAGTACTTCAATTTTGATTTAACGTTGTAAGGGACAATTAACTTTAGTAAACATAGCTGCAGTTTATAGATATTGTTCAAGTAGGTCTGATAAGTGCGTTCATAGCTACATAAAACATAGTTTATCACGGAGTCGGTATGTACAAGTACCTATACTCTAGCCAAATTCGATGTAGAATAAATGTCAACAAACAAAAACATATGATTTTTAGGGTTTTCATCTGACTCTTTCACAGGTACCACAATTTCAATATTTTCCCACGAAATTCAATTAGATTATGGATAATACTAAATCTTTAAGCCATGTTTATAATGCATATTATTCAACAAAAGTTTCAAATCACCTAAAAATGACATAAAAATGACCCACAATTAATTATTTGTAAAACTGTGTCATCCCTAATAACATTTTGATTTGAAGGGAGAGATTGCAAACATTCGAATTCTGGTGGTAATTCTAGTTCGTAATCGGAAATAGATTCTGGATGCTATAATATGTAGTAAATTAATATCAAACAAAATTTATAATTTTGTATTTTTTTATCTGCTATTGCCTACCATCTAGTAGTAAATATTAATAAGGTGCAAAAACTTGTGTTTATTCCTAAATCACACGAATATGTATTCTGGAAACTTTACAGTAATAGGCTCGGTAATTATTACTTCGACATAACCCAATTACTTACTTACCTATTTAAATTCCAATTACGAGAGCAGACCGTGAGCAGAGCAAGCCTTAATAATGAGCATTGAAAAAAAATGTTCTATTCCTATGCCATCATTGGTTGCGTAGCAACGTTTTGTTATTCAGCATTCTACATCGAATTTGCCACTTGCCAAAACCGTTTATCGTGACGTAAGTGACCGGCGGTAATTTGTCACTGTGATTTTTTGGTAACTAGAACTATAGTCACGTTGATAGAAATGTAACGCCTTTCCTAATTACTTTTATAATTTTATCAAACGCTTCTTCATAAAACGTTAAACCTCATCATCGGTGTGAACTGAGCAACGTCGATCTGTTTATGCTGAACAAGTATCTACTGCTTTTGCACCCTGTGCGTCCACGAAACACGGTGTCATCTTGCTAAATTATCTGGTCTCTGAGATCCAGGATGCTGGCATCTGTTACGACAGTATTAAGGTACTAATGTGTAAAGCAAATCTAACGTATGAAATATGTATGTAGTTTACGTAAAGGTGTAAGTTTACATTGTCTTAACCGCTCACGCGATACATGCAGCCGTAGACGCATACCACACCTAGAGGTGCAGGTGATGATTTTATACCGATTTATCGGATATAGAAGTTATAACAGGTAAAAGCACTAATATTAATTGCTATTTCGGTAACTACTCTAGCAAACCATAAAGTTTTTAATGCCTGGGTCTGTCATTTAAAAAAATAAACAACTTCAAAAATACGCCACGACAATCGTGTGTGTTATTGTTTGGGCTGGTGATTTCGGTGTTTATTTATTGAAAACATACCGTAAGTAGCATTTTTTAAGTTTACCCTGAATATAAATGTTTATAAACTATACTTTAAGGAGTAATTTCATGGTAAACGTTAGAACCACTCAAACGGAATATTATCATATTTACCCAAGTACACCAAAAATGTCATTAGTGCTTTTTAAGTGCAGGATTTGCGGTGTATTACTGCATTTTATTTGAGATGTTTTTATTGTAGTACGGAGGGTATTATATATATTTTATTTATAAAAACTTGTATTTAAACTGAATCCTTTTCTAATTTGCGAAACCAAATAGCCGCCATTTTGCGGTAGGATGAGCGCATCGTGTGAGCGGGTAACGCTATATAAGTTTTTCTATAATTTTGTAATACGTATCTAACTATATAATATCTACATATGCATAAAAGTAAATCCTATGCCGTAGAAATCAAGAGGCCGAAATGATTATTCAACTTTTATCGAAACCACGTTGTGCGGATATTATTTATGAGTTGTAATAAGTGTACGAAGGGAGGGAGGGTGAAGAAAGACGCTTGGTGTCTCCAAATGCACTACGGTTTTTATTGACATAGTTGTATGATCGACTTATGAATGAGACATAATCGCGCTTATCCTCGATGCTAGCTCACCGTCCCACCCGGCGGAAGTGGCAGCCGGCCGTCGATGACCGATGCCGACAATTCTATGAGCTTTCATGTAACCCACACGGTGGAAGTACTGGAATGCCACTCATAGGCCCTATAATTCGATACAAAGCAACTTCCTGTTGCAAATTATATGGTAATTTAGTTAACATTTCGATAGCGCTTTCTATTTTGATCCCAACGCCATCTAGCGGCAAGGCGAGGTTACTAATATTTCTTGTACGTGTTGTGACAGTGTTTCTTTTTTTAAATATTATAGACGGTAACCTATCACTATCGAATAATTTTTCCGAAATAACGTTTTCGAATTTTCATTACACCGAAAACCGAATTATAACGAAACCGTTGTTCTTTCAGGATATGTTGGATGTTTATCGCAAAGACACGATTAGGTTCGGTTAAGTTAGGTTTAAAACCTAACTTGCAAGAGAAGCTGGAGGAGCCGAGAACTGGCCACTGGACCATCAGAGTGATTCGACCAGTTCTGGCGGAATGGGCGGATCGATCCTGGGTAGGCATCTCCTACCACCTTGCGCAGGTTCTGACGGGGCACGGTTGCTTCGGCAAATACCTGTGCATGGTGGGACGAGAACGGACGACCGTATGCCAACAGTGTGGCTGCGCCGAAGACACGGCCCAGCACACACTGCTGGCGTTCGACGAGCACGACCTATCCCTGCCGACAGTGGTGCGAGGCATGGTCGGCAGCGAGAGGGCGTGGAGTGCGGTGGCCTCCTTCTGCACCGATGTATTGTCGCGGAAAGAGGCGGCGGAGCGAGAGGAAGACCCTTCCTCTTATCCTATGCGCCGCAAACGTTTAGGGCGCAGGCGGCTGGCCAACTGCCGCCCTGACAGTGAAGCCTGGGTGGCAAAACGGGGGCTTTGTCACTCTCTGGACAAGGGTTCACGGGTTGGTTGGCATGCCAAGTATTCCCGGCATGCCACTAACGACGGTGTGGGGACGGTAAAGTCTCCCAGAGGTGGGTCCGCAGTCGCGAACACTCGCAGGCGGGGCCGTGGATCGTAAACCACGTACGTGGCCACAGCCCCGTCTCATGCGGAATGTGGGAATACCCGGGGGTTTTTAGTGAGTAGGAGTCTCACATAACCACCGCGCCTCCCCGTGACGCGGTGGTATCCATAACGGATTTTGCCCCGGAAAGAAAAAAAAGGTTTAAAAGAAAAAACATTTTCCTCTCAACATTACTTTCGAGGTTATGAAAATTCGAGCAAACGTCATTTCTGGAAAATGTCATTTCGAACTACGGATAGGTAACCATTATAGACGTTAGATAATTTATTATTAATTATGCTTTCAAAATAAAGGCATTCATGTCGTTTATGAACTGGCAAATCATATTATGGCCCTAAAGCTGCTATGCTATAAGTTTCTTCGTATGTGGAGTGTTAACAAAATCAAAATAAATTGGTACGTCGCGCACTGACGTGGGCCTATTGAATTGTTATTGGGACGTTTGGGTATTTAGTAATGAAATAAGATCCCTTAATGTATACAATGTGCAAGTGAATATAAATCTTGTTTTTTCGAGATTATCAGATCATATTTTGTATGTTTATTTTTCTCTCCAGTTATGGATAGATACTTATCAAAGATCTGATTTGAAAGATAATAATCTCAGTACAGAGTACTGAAGAAACCGATCTCAAAAGTACGTGGAATAACATATAATTACCAAGTTTTACTGAAATCGGTTACCGGAAAGTGCGCAAACCCGGATTCATCCCCTAGTTCGCCACTATACGGGACTTGACACTGGAGATAATAAGAATCGGTTCTCACTACTCAAAGTATATTGAGAGAGAAAAACGCCTTGAATTGGAGAATAGCAAAATCAGCCATTAAAAAAATTGCTCCTTTTCACAAAATTTAGGCGCTATTTATAAAAATCAATCTTCATGCGTGAACAGCCACTCTTCGAGGTGGATGATTTTCTTCAAAATGAAATGGGACCACTATGGAAGTACCCCCTTTCCAACAAAAAAAAGAACATACAGACGAATTGAGAACCTCCTCCTTTTTTGAAGTCGGTTAAAAAATATACATTATATCACATCTATTTCCCTGTGTCACCCACACACAATACACAAAAACAGATAAATATATATCTATCCCACTTCCCCCCTCTCGCCTCTCACTTTTCATACAAGTAAATTTATTCTACTTACTTTTGTCCTAACCTTTTACAACGACAGTTTTAATTTGGTTGAAAAACTACGTTACTAACACGTTTCCTTTCTATTTGTGAACCCACCCAGGGTTTGACTCCGCGCCACCTATAATTTTTTTTTTGCAATTTTTGCCATGAGCTTTTCGTGAGAAAGCTTACACACATCTGCTAAGCGAGCCTCCCCGCAATGAATCATCAATTCATATTCCTAAGTCTGGCGCAAAAAGAGCAACAATCACGATAGCAAACATATCCCACGCACAGGTAAGGCGAAGCATGTTATAGCGAGCCAAAATTTTTTTATACTTCATGTTTATGTGCAATATACGTTGAGATTTTTCGAGCATAAAAACTTTTTATGATTAATCTTGACGTAAAAAATTCATACGGCGATAATGCAATGAAAAAGCCCATGGGCCTAATTTAGGATATTACAGTTGACTTTGCCTGCATGTCATGACACTGTTTACGAGCAAGTGCGAAGAAAATGTTATTATAGCCTTCGAGAGTTTTTTGACGAATAATTAATATAATATGTATATAATTTTTAACTGCCTATTTGGCCGAACGGTTACTACACTGGTCTGCCACGTAGAGGTCCCGGGTCGGGAGAAATATTTGTATGGCCTACATTTATTTCTCTCGTGAGTTCGGGGTAATTTGTGGTGTTCTGCGTGTAAGCACCCGCGACACAGGGTTTCCTTAGTGCGGGGCTATGAGTGTGAAAAATAAAAATAAAACAAGACAAATACCTATTGTTTTTATTACTAGTTTTTTTTTTAATAATAATAACGCTCTCAATCAACATAGCCCCGAACTAGGGAAACCCTGTGTCGCGGGTGCCATGGACACACGCATAGACAACCACAAGTTACACCCAAACTCACGAGAGAAATAAATGTAGGCTATACAAATATTTCTCCCGGCCCGGGAATCGAACCTGGGACCTCTGCGTGGCAGTCCGGCATGGTAACCGTTAGGCCACAGAGGCAGTTAAAATTTGTTACATAAGTTCTCTAAAAACATTATGTTCTTTTTATGTTTTTTTTGTTTTTACTAATTAATACCTCGTATTCAAATTTTAAGATCTATGTTACACATGGAAGCAGTAAATACTTTAACTTTGACTTTTAATTATTGTTTGTGTATGCGCAAATCCTTGCATTACATTATGTTAATAATGAACTTGGCGAAATTTTGTAATCTCAACGTGCTAAATGTTACAGGCTTGTGACGTTGCAGATAAAGTTTCTCGAATATGTTTTTGTGAGTTCTAATAGTAACACAGACAGTTTTGTCCCGTATTTTACTTACACGCCGTTGCCAAAGTTGCCACTTCAATACGACACAGTTTTGCTATATTCGAGTTGGCAGATGCATCTAAATTATACGACTGGTTGTCCGTCGTGCACTGTATTATTTTCTGAAGTTCTCGCTTCGGATCTATTTGAATTATACGAAACTTGACGGTTGTATTGTTAATCTATAGTTAGATTTGTTATTGGGTTGTTGTCGGATTTGTGTTATGGGCCTTTTTTGTTGATCCAGGGGAATCTGCGTACAGATTGGTCCGCATTGATCCCCAACATACAACACAAGACATTGGTCCCCCGACTCCAAATCTAAGACTCTCCGAACACCAGACGACCCTTCCATCTCGGACCTCTCCATGCTGGGCAACGAACTCCCACGAGTCTGCTACCCAGGGGCCATGGGGGTCAGGATAACATACCCTCAACTGTGAAGTTCAGTGGATGCCCCAGCCCCCGCGGCGGTTATCCTGACAGGCTCCGCCGCTACACCCCATGCGCATCCGCGTGGACTCTTCGAAGAGAGACCCATGGAATGCCGCACACGAAACACCGCACTGGCAAATCACCCAAATTCGGCAGCGGAGGACAGGATGAGTGGCAATGACACACTGCCAAGTCTTTTCCCGCAACCCTCCTCTCGCGTGCATCCGCGCGGACCCGCTCGACCCGGATCAAGATCAAGACAATAAGGATAATATAGGAAGGATGTATCACAGAGAGTGTGCGATGGAATTCCACCTTCCCCTTTCCATCATCGGGGTACTAGGCGCAGGCTTGGGTTCCACCCCTATGTCGTGGATACTCCAAAGATTCACACACATTTACATTCATATGGCGAACGGCTATGGAGCGGAATTCCCAGTCTGCAGACTTGTTCCCTACACGTTCTAACTTGGACTTTTTCAAGGCGAGAGTGAGTAGGCATTATTTAGGTGTGCATGCTCCATCGTCGACCTTGTCGTCACTTTCCATCACGTGTGATGGAGGTCAAATGCGCACTTACATTTGTATAAAAAAAGACGAGCCTGCGCGGAACGCCCTCCTCCTCGGGCCAGCCCAATGCTGGTTTTGGTCCGCGCCGGCCAAAGCCGGTAGCTCCACCACCTGGGAACGTGTTCGATGGCAGACCAGCAACTGTGCACGGATTCACATACTAACCTCATGTACCTAATGTAGGAAGGCGCAATCAAGGATTTGACCGATATTAAAAAAGAATATTCATATTATTTTTTACTATCAAATAATATTTTATAATTTTATAATTATAATTTTCGCCAACACACACACACACGCACACACACACACACACACACACACACACACACACACACACACACACACACATGTGCGCGCACCACACACACACACACTCATGCACGCAAGCACGCACATAATTCCGTGTTTGAGTCCATTTTTATTAATTTTTTTTTGTTACTTATGAGTGTATTATGTATAATTTTACAGTCATGTCCGTGGGGTGGAGGCCTGGTGATCCATAACACAGGTTTTTTTACCTAGCTTGGACCCCAGTCTCCCATTTTAGCATTGCTTAAATTTATATCTGTACAAATTGCCATTTTAGTATTCGTAAGCTGGGAGAAAATAAATTTAAAAAAAAAAATTTGAACGCTTTAATATAATGATAGTGTTACCTTGAATGCAGTTCATTTATAATTTATCCGTAGATCAACTAATATAGACGCAACAGTTTATATACATATATGTATGTCGGAACTAGTTATCACTTCAAGCGTAATTTATTAGATAAACGATTTACTAAGCTACCTACGAAACATTTTAACTAGTCTCGATCATGGTTTCTTTGCTTACAAATGTCACGTCAGTTCGACAGCTCAAACTGGGTGTTGTCGGAGAGAGGGGGCTTTTTGTGTAACTTCCTGAGACAATGAAGACGTGTACTCGCTCTCTCCGAACTTGCCGTGTGATATTTAGAATCCATTTTAACCTTATCCATCTTTTATACTTTCGAACTAATTACTGTGAAAAGCGCATAAAATAATTTAGAATAGAATTTTATTACATTCATATACACACACAGCAAAATTAAAAACAATAGATACGTTACATTAAAAAAAAAACTTATTTCAATGATTGTATGTACGTGCTACTTATATAAAATGCTTAAACTCCCGAATCCCAAACTAAGCAAAAGCTTGTATTTTGAGATTGAGTGTTCCGCCACTCACTGGCTATCACTAAGTAAATACAATACAACCAAGAGGTAAAAATCAACCATTGACTTACAATTATATGGACGTCGGGTCCGCGCTAAAAAGTGTCCGAACTTATAGGGCGTTAAAATCGTATACAGAGCGTCATTCACGCTCTAGTCTTCGTTTGTTCGACTGACAGCGAAGCAAGCAAAATTAGACAGTACTGCGATGACATTACAATTTAAATTCAACGTTTTAGCTTTTTCATATTCCTTTACATGTCACTACGCTTAAATAGGTTGACTTGGGACATTTTTTTCGTGATTTTTGTATTAGACCCGTCGTCCATTT